TCAAAACATTCTTTTCAGAATCAGCACATTCAGTAGGAACTCAAAGGTACCAATTCTGATCAACAGACCTTCACAAGCTGCGTCGCTGGATTTCAGCTCTTCGAGTGTGGCAATCAGGGCTGGTAGGGTGTTGACTGTGGCGGCAAGATTGTCTGCCCTTGCGGTCCAACGGGTGTCCGAAAACGCACGAAGAGCAGTTCTACCTTCTTTGACTGAAAACTTTTTGAGGTTTTCCTCATAAACAGCCATGCGTTGTGGAGAACCTTCCATCACCGTGAAAATCGACCCAATTGTTTCAAAGACATCTTTGACCATTGGAAGTGTCTCAGCACACTTTCCTAGAACCAAATTGAGACGATGTGCGAAGCAAAGGAAGTAGAGTGACATGGTTGCACCAGCCTCTGTAAGCTTCTGCTGCATTCCATTGTCTTTTCCAGACATGTTGCTAGCACCATCAAAGCCTTTTCCAATCATGTCCTTCAACGGAATTTGATGCTTGCCAAGCTCTTCAACTAGGACGTCTGACAGCGACTTTCCTTTCAAACTTTGGACGTGTTTAAGTCCAACAACACGTTCGTAGATAGTGTGCTCATGAACATATCTGAGCACAATCGACATGTAGGAATCCTTGTGACTTGTGACTTCGTCACATTCCACAGAATAGAATCTGCTCTTCTTTACCTGTTCCCTAATGGTCTCGACCACATTATCAGAAATGATACTTATCATCTCGTTCTGAATGTCATTGCTGAGCCAAGAGACGTTTTCAGGATGGCTATCGAGCCACTTTTGAAGTGGTGCATGATATTTTGCGAGAAACTTTATCTCTTCAAGAAACTTCCCCTGGTTTAAAGACGTTGACTTCTCGTCGTGTCCACGAAAAGCTTCGTTTTGCAATGCGATGTGTCGCACTACATCAAAAATAACGGCCGCAATTTCTCTGTTCTCTTTCTTCTCTTGCTCCTTTCTTGATGCATTTAGAGCTTCTGCCTCCGAAAACTGAACATTTATTGGCGTAAGTGTTCTTCTACTTATTGCCCTCTCTCTGCTCAGTTGATGCATTCTCGATTTGATATGCTTCTCTATTTTACCTTCCTTTCCCAAGGCGTTCTTCCAGTTTCGAGAACCCTCCTTGATGAAAGGGGTTTCGGCACAGCCAACTGAAAAATTAACGATAGAATAAATTGCAATATTTATCGAAAATCCTTTAAATATACGATAAAGTGATTACTGTCTGGTCGTCGTTTCTGCATATGTAAACATATTTCAATTGCATCCAATCGTCAAAAAACCTATCAAAAAAATTGCTTCACGGTGGTTATAAACCTACCCGTAAGAAAGAAAATTGAATAAAATCAGTTATTCTAAATTGGAAAAGCCAGACGAGAAAGGGTAAATCAAGTAAACCATACTGTCACTTACCAAGAGTCCCAAAAATCCTGCAGTAGAAGCAGTACATTGCATCGTTTTCCACAGAATACTCCAACCAGTCATATGTACTGTACCATTTCTTCTGAAATCTATAGTCCCTACCTCCAAACTTTGTAGCAGGGAAATCGATAACGGGTTGTATGGGTCCAAGCGCGAGTACTTGGTCGATGTTTACTACATTTTCCGTCGCAGGGTCACGAAGTGTACTTGAAGCCATTGCAAAATGTTTGAAAAAAACTGTCTCTTCGCCACTTTTTATTTCCTTTTTTCTTCACCAAAAATGGAAGCAGTGTAATATGTCACGTGATACTTATCAAATTGAGCGGAGCAGACCATATTTAGCCTGCGTGCAGATTCCGTCCCGTAAAGTTTCTACCCACACAAAGAGGTAACGTTTTCATGTTAAGCGTCATCAATAAAGCACTTCATTATGTGGATTAAGATTTGAATACTTTCCATAATCCAATTTCCTTGTGATGATAGCAATCCAATACAGATGTATGACCTCATAGATCACTTACAATTATTCGAATCAAAGGAGAACTATAAATTGCCATCACATAATTCAATTACGTAATCTCCTCCTGGCATTTCTCGGAAAAATTATTACCCAACCTATACCCCGCCATTTCTCTTCGATTTTAAAGGAATCTCGAGGACCATCTTTTGGCAAAAGTGGGGGGGCAATTGCCCCCCCATACCCCCCCGTGGCCACGCCAGTGCCTCTAGCCACAACAATGTAATATATTTTTACTAAGGAAAGTATTCCCATTTTGAAACAGAGATGTCTGCAGCTCGTCCACTACGCCGTAATCATGGTGTTGAATCATGGTTACGAAATATAGAGAATTTGACCCATCCAACAACAGACACAACATTTATTAAAGCAGCTAAGCCGACTTGTTGTGTCATAGTCATTTCTTTATTTGACGATATCTTTGATTGGAGACCATTCGAGCAAAAGTTTAGGGGTACCTTCTCATCTGGAGACTTTTATAGATTACTGTACGAGAACGGGCTTTTATCTTGCAATTGAGGGTATTGTGTATTAGGGTTACAGTGACTACCCGGGAGCGATTGGTGAACCAGAAGAGAAGGGTATGTTTACAAAGCCTTCTGCCCTGACTCCGTGAGGTCCTTGCTGTAAAGGATGAGGTAGTTTAGTAGGGACAGCCCAAAGAGTATGGAATGCCCGCTGTGGAGCAGCTGTAAACCATGACTTTTGTAACCCTCATGTATTTATGGGGCCAGTCATAATATTCGTTCCCGGGGTGTTGCACCAGCCGAGGTCACAGTTCAGGCAAAGTATTGTAAATATTGTCTCACCTGTAAAGATAGAAAGTTTCAGTGGAAAGAGAACAAAAATCATGTTTTTGAATAGCTTAAGCAAGCCCTTAGTTCATCTACTGTTTTAAAGAAACCAGAATTTGACCGACCTTTTGAGAGCAATTGGGGCATGTATGATGCAAGGTGATGATAATAGCCATCTCCATCCTGTGGCACTTGGAAACTCAGGGATACTGAGGTAAGGTACCCAGCAATTGATGCCGGAAATTGGCGGTTGTGGAGGGAGTAAGGGCATTTGACACATATGTCTATGGCCATAATTTGTCATATATTCTGATCACAGACCTTTGGTTTATGTGTTTGCCTGTAAGACAAAGTTAGAATAAGCAGATGGTCACATGAGTCAAGTTACTATAACTATTCCCTCAGATATTGACAAAGCACAAAACATTGCGTCCAGATCAGCTGATTAGAGCCGTTGCAGTCATCTCGCTTCAAGATATTGAACCACAAACACTCAGACCCTTTGGAAGAAGGTTATATCTTACCTAGAATGGGAGAAACTTTCCTAGTGTCATTTACCATGAAAATGAAAGACCCTGTACAGAACAATGTGCCATTTTCCAGATCAGGTCCTTCATCAGTTATTTGTACCAAAGGCCTTCAACTCACCAAGGGACATGCCGCACACATTGTATGTTATGTGATATGTTTTACTTCCCAAACATGCTTCATACAGTCGGAGATTATGTTGCCAGCTGTCACGCTTGTCGACGACGTAAAAGTGCGGATCTCCTTGAACCTAATACGACCACTGAGAGAAATAGGTATGTGCTATCCATTGTTGACCATGCTAGCAGATATTTGCAACTCATAAAACTCCCAAGTAAAGATGCATCTACAGTCACTAAGGCTTTTCTTTGCCTTGTTTGGCCCACCGAAGTCACTAAAAACTGATAATGGCACAGGATTCAAGAATGTCCTCTTTTCTAAAGTCTGCGAGTTATTCATTTATTTTCCATCCACAGGCTAATGGCATGGCTGAGAGGACCAACAGAGTGGTGAAAAACGCCCTAGCCACTCTACTGGAGACCTTATCTCACGAGTGGGATGAACTGCCTCGCTATTAATACAGTTGTTCATAGGTCCACAGGAGAAAACCATTGTATCTTCTGATAGGTCACCTCGGGAGCTTTCCTCTGGTAAACACCAACTATATGGAGGTGAATCCAGACGAATTTCTAAAGAAACGTCTACCCAGCCCCTTGAAAAATGAACCAGCGATTACAGAAAGCACATACGCAAAATAATGTTTGCAGCTAGCGTAGGTGACCTTGTGCTTTTTGATTTTTATAAACAGGGTGGTAGACTACGTCGCACTATACTTGGTCTAAAGTGGTTTGGCCCGGCAAGGATTGTGAAGTCACTGGGTCCAGTGACGAGGATCATTAAGGATCTTGCTCCTCCACAAAAGGAACGTAAGCTTCACCTCAATTAGCTACGGCCCTTCATTGTCGGTGATGAGTTACACTTTCCACAGTCTATGGGAGATGGTGAGTCTAACGATTACCTTTGTCCTACAGATGATCCAGACGTCCCCTAATGATCTTGCTTAAGTACTGATACTTTCTGGCAGTCACAGGAGGGGAGGAACTTTCCTCTTTTCTTGCTTATGACTTTTGATCTGCACATTGTTATTTTGTATCTTTTAGTTTTACTTTGTTTTAAGGGATATATTTTTTGTGTATATCAATGTTTTTTATTGAAAACGATTACCTTGATCTTATCCCTGCTTATCATTTTTATTTTGTACTGTACTGTATTGTTTTTTATTTTGTATTATGTTCGGTTTTATTGCTTAATGCTCTTGATTTTGTTTGTTTTTATTGATTTAGGCTTTAAGTTCGTTTCTGTTTGGTCTTATGGCTTTTATCTAGTCCCTTTTTATTTCGGCATTTTCTTACTTTGCTTTTATCCTTCCTTGATTTTCTTGTTTTATTTACGTTTCTTTTAATTTTATGTGTATTTTGATTTTAGATAGATTTAGTGACTTTTCCTTGGATGTACTGAATTTTCAATATATTATATCTATATATATATATATAGATTATATATATATATATATATATATATATATTATATATGTATAATATATAGGTATATGTGTTAATATATATAGGATATATATATATATATATATATATATGTAGATATATATATATATGTATATGGTATATATATATATGTATATATTATGTATATATGTATATATATTATATATATATTAATATATAATATATAATATATATATATATATATGTATATGGGTATATATATAGGTATCATGTATATACAGATATATATGGTAATATATATGTGTATATATAATAGATAAAACTTATATATTATATATCTATATATTACATATTATTTATACTGCCGCGATAGTCAGTGATTAGAGCAATGGACTCCGAATCGTGATCCCGGGTTCAATTCCCGTCGCGGCAGCCGTAAAACGCTGCCTCTGACTGCTGCACCTTGAAGCCAGAAAAAAACATATCGCTGAGAAGTCAAACGCAGTGTCGTAAGGGAAAGTCACCGCTGTGGCACAAGAGTTAATGCGCCGAATCGCGGTTGATTAGGAAGGGCATTCAAATCAGGCATATAACCTCTCAATATGATTGAGAGCTAGGCCTATGTCCTGCAGTGAATGATGGGCTGTGAAAAAAAAAATAGTATATAGATATATATATATATATATATATATATATCTATATATGAAGATGGAATAATGCAATGACGCATGATATAGATATATAACAATCCTCCCTGATTGGCCTCGCACCTAGGTCACCCGGGTAAGAGACCGGAGGGCCGTACTAAACCCAACAGCCACGCGCCCAGACAACTGTCATGGATGGGACGTTCATAAGAAAAGGAAAGGAGAAAACAAAAAGGGAAAGAAGCTGCAGAAGATCAAGGTGTGGAAACTACAGGAATGTGCAGGAGAATACAGAAGGCAAGTGGGAGAGAGGACTGAAGAGAGCGAGGAGAGAGACAGCAACGAAATGTGGAAATGTGGTGGTGGACAGAAGAGGTGCGGGAGAAGGTCAAGGAAAGAAGAAAACTTTCAAGGAGTGGCAGGATGACAAGGAGAGCCTTGTCATCCACATACTACTTTTCCACATACTGCTTTTTCTCCACTTCTTTCGGGTCTTGTGGCCACTGCTCTTCGATGTTCCTTTTCTTCATGTCGGCCATCACACAATCCAGCCATCTCCGCTTTCCAGGATAGGCAGATCCATCGCTTTCCGTTTGCCTTCTTCCTCATGCCTTCTTTTCACATGGCCAAACTATGTGAGTCTTGCCTCTTCGATCTTGCTACTAATGCTTCAGCTAACACCTCTCCCTTTGTTCTATGTTCTCTCTAGACTGATTCCCAACATCCACCTCAACATTCTCATTTCCGTTCTCTGCAGCAGGCTCTCTTCTTTCTTTCTTAAGGTCAAGTTTCTGCACCGTACAATAACATAGGTCTGTACAGTTTTGTACATTTTTCACTTTTCACTCGTCGATGAAATGACCAAGTCATCGGCGAACAACATTTCCCAGAGCAATCCTCCTCCACGCTCCTCGCCTCACCACGTCGATAACTATGATGAACTGGAGTGGGCTCAGGCTTGATCCTTGGTGAAGGCCGACTTTCACTTCAAATTCTTCTGATGTTCCCTGTAGCGTTCTGACCATTGTGGTTACACTTTCGTAGGTATCCTTCACGATGTAATGAGGTCCTCTGAAACTCCTTTCTTCCGTAGACACCAGTAGACCAGCTCTCTGGGCACCCTATCATATGCCTTTTCCAACTATGACTAGATAGGTAATGTCTATGAAGCTAAATAGATCCTAGTTGCACACTCCTTTTAGTGGGTCATGTGGTATGGTTGATTTAGTACTGGCCCTCCGGTTTTATACCCGGAGTTCGAAGCCCGGTCAGGGAGGGTTGATATATATCTATGTCAATGCAGCATTGCATTATTCCATCTTTCATATATATATATATATATGTGTGTGTGTGTGTAGGGTGTGTGTGTTGTGTGGTGTGTGTGTGGTGTGTGTGTGTGTGTGTGTGTGTGTGTGTGTGTGTGTGTGTGTGTGTTTGTGTGTGTGTGTGTGTGTGGTAGAAAAACCCCACAATGCAAAAATTAAATTTATTGAAAGTGAGATTACAGTTTCGAAATCCACCTGAATTCCATCCTCAGGTCTGGAAAGGAAAGGATTAGGAAAAGTCCGGTTATGGGAAGCTGAGCCTCGGATAGGAGGGGTAGAAAAGAGAGAGGAGAGGCAACACGGTAACATGGAGCAGGTGAGGACAGACGAAAGGAAGCGAAGGGAGGTCAGATCAGGTCTTTTATTGTGTTCCTTGGATACAGCTTACTTATGTTGAGACAGACGCTTAGTGAGACTAGCGCCTGTCTCGTCAAAGTA